GGTTGCTACGAGGGAGGACAAAGACAACCGTTTTAACGGTTCACCGAAAGAAAATATGTCATGACGGAGGGAGACATGGCTTGCATGTTGCCCGGAGCTACGATCGCAAGTTGGTAGGGTCAGGTAGTATCTGCTGTTTCGTTTATTTGGAAGAGACATGCTTGGGTTGTTTGCTGGCAGCGTATCGATGTGCGGAAGTACCGGATTTGTTCAAGTTCAGCAACGGGATGACAGGGGGGGGAATCCCCATCTAGGCCACGGATGGCCTACCAACACTCCGTACTTTGAAATGTCAATATATCGGGTTCAGTCCAATGCTAGAACAGGAATCTCTCTAAGGGTGTAAGCGGAGGGCGACGGCGGAGGATTCCAGGGACAGACGTCAAGTTGTGCAACCCCGCAGCCAGTCAAAAAGGTGCCCCTCCCTAGAAAGGATATTCAGGGGGGCATGCGACGATCGCTAGGTGCGCCGGAATGGGATCTTAGCAAGGATTTGATTGGCTCTCCGTTCACTAGACTTTGGGGGTTTCAAGCAGCAGACTTAAGCCTGAAACTTGAAACATTGAATCTTACCGCCCCCAAAGAGAGAGAGAAAGGCCCTTCTTTAGCGCTACCTTAGGTGCCTATTTCTTTATTGTTGCCTCGCGCATTGCCGCGCAGATTGACGCGCGCTCCTTCAGCCAGTCATGTTTGATTGATTAATCGATTGACATTTAAGTGTAAAAAGAGGCAGGTTTATTTATATCCATCACCCGCTCAATGAATAGCGTAAGGTCTGATTCGAATTGTTGATTTCTCTCCTTAATTACCTGCAGAGTCCCTGCGGTATTTGTGTATTGGAAAAGAAAGAAACCTCCACATTTTGAAGCCCCCAAGGCGTCTTTACAAGATGCTCAATACATTAGTTTCAGATATCGCAAAGCACCCTGTCTCCCTTCCTCAATTGAGGTTATTCGCATAGCCGCTAGCTCGAATCCATCTATACGAAAAGTCAAGTTCGTTTATTAGCGATCCTAGTCTCACGTCATTCCTAACAACTCGAGAATTACGACACTAGACAAGAAACAAAACGCTAGCCCGGGATGCCAGGGAGAGGTCCACGATGGTGGTTTTATCGTCGGCGGATTCTACCCCACACAGTTCATTAGTCAAAGGGCCTACCCGATACTAATTATATCACGGACTATCACCGGGAGTTGTGTACCTTATTTAAGCCAGTATCCTCTGGTATACTAGCGGGCTTGCATATGTAACACGCCCCAGGGGTAGTTGGGAACACAGCGATCACGACTGTGCCTACAAGGGTTTCTTGATGAGTTGTAGGTACCTTGGTTATGGGTTTCAAGCAAGTCTAGTGGAGGGACAAAAAAGAAAACCAACATAAGTAAGCCCTATCACGCGCATAGTGAGTTCGATTGCTCGTATTGTGTATATCAATCGTGGCGCGAAGGTCTGAATCGAGACATTGAATACATTTCAGGTCGTTCAGGTCGGCGAATGGCATCATCTCAATTCAGAGTTGCATTGGTAGGCTGACTCTTGCGTAGCAGCGGATAATCAAGCTTCGGCTTTTACATGTACGGGCCAAATGGCCAGACCTGGTCCTTTGGATACAATCCTTCGATGCTACCTAGTGTGAAATGCTGCATCCTGGCGGGCCTGGCTGCCCTGGATCCAACGTGGAAATATCTACTGCTTTTTCACCAGTCCCTCCATTACTCCCTGTATGAAAATAGTTCAATGGGTCCCAATGGGCTGTTCAGCCCCAGAGGAGGGCAATTCGTAATAAGCGCCTAGGGCCTGGGCGGATATCTGTATACGATTACCTATTGGCCGGTTCGTAGATCCTTTCCTCGCCGGCCGGCACATTGGGTCAGATCTCTCTCTTCATCCCGAGCTAAAAGCATGACCGCCATCAACGATAGATAATTTCGTACCCTACTCACCTGCATGTCGCGTGCCCGCAGGTCACTCAGCTTCTTTTACTGCGGGCCTCCAAGATTGGATTGCCCTTCGCATGGCTACAGGGGGGGAGTTGAGATCACTCAAAATGCCGGAGAGAGCCAGCCCAGCGCCGTAGACTCGGGTCTCTCACCCTGTCTCGACGTAAGACAGCCAGAAAAATGCTGTCCCACGCGGCGATACGCAGCCCTATGACGCTCACCACCGCTCTCCTCACCATTTTTACCCTAGCAGCGGCTACCTGCTACCGTCCCGATGGCAGCGCTGTAGGTGATATATACCGGCCACGCGACGAAAGCGCCGAGTTTAGCACATGTTGCCGCGCTAGTACCACTCACGATGCTGATCATGGTGACAATGATAACAATGACGAATATGACGGCGACGCTCATGCCTCAATCGGGCTTTGCGGCGTACCAGGAACACAACTGTGGAGGGGGAGCTGCACAGATCCGACGTGGACATCACCGGCTTGCCTGAACCTTTGCGCGGACGGAGATTGTTTGTCACCTTTTTTTATTCCCAACACCCAGCCCGCTGTACTAACATCGTGTCTCAGACGCCGCCGCCGAGGAGGTAGAGATCACGACTTGCAATGACGGCAGCTTCTGCTGCGGAGCTAGCAGCTCTGGTTGCTGTGAGCGAGGAGAAGGGGTGCTCATCATCGACAAAAAGATAATATCGCCGCCTCGGAAACGAGAAATAAAGCCGGCATCGCCGCCGGCCACAGCTACGCGTTCAACCCGCATTGCAAGACGCGGGCTGTCAAGCGAAGCCATCACCGGCTTGACAATTACCGGTGCCTGCGGAGTCGTCGGTGCCCTGACGGTTGCCGTCTACGTAGCTTCAAAATGGAAGAAGGCCAGTAAACCTACCGACCCGGTGTCGCTGCCGAGCGGCGCGCTGCCGTCGCACCACGCGGTCAGCCTGGCGCCGAGCCCGGTCTTCGCCCCGCCGAAGGCGGTCGCGCCGCTCTACTACCACAGCACGCCGCTTTGGGGATCGACGTACGGCCGGGCGGAGCTCGACTCCTCCGCGCGGCCGCAGGAGCTACCCGGCCGCCCGGCCGTCGCCGCGCTGCCGAGCCGCAAATACAGTAGATGGTAGTCGGTTAATAGCTAGTTGTAATTGAGGAAATAATAATCAAAGGGAAGAAAGAAAACCTCGTGTTTGTGGCTGTCGGAGATGTGTCCTGTGCTCTGGATGTAGTAAATTCTGCTAAAGCGACCGAGTTGTGTTTCCCCTGAGTCTCGGCGATCCGATTAGGATTACATGAGCTAGCCTAGCTTCTGTTCTAATGTCTCCCTATCTTTCCCCTCTCGGGCTCGCCTACCACCTTTAGAATAAACGGACCACTCCCCCTGAGCCGGGCCATCTATACATACTCGTCCAGCCCGAAGTAGAAACACCGAGCATCTCTCTGGGAGACATCCGCTCTACACGTAGTCTTGCGGAAGGGGGCAAGCCTCTATTATTTAATAGTTATAGATAGTATCCATCTTTGAAAGGGGATAAGAAAATACAAGCAGACCGTATGACCCAAATATTGATGAGGATCATTTGCATAAGCCTCGCTTATATTAAAGACAGGCTGTTAGCGAACTAGTGTATACTAGACTGCCTATGCAACCCAGTAGATAATATCCTTGACGACGACAACAGCAGCAACAACAACAATGTCATTACGCAGACCATAAAAGTACTTTTATTTCATGACAGGAACCTAAGATCTAAATCCGCCTGAAATTTGAGAGATAGTCTATTTCACACTTATGGTACCATATTGGGGGATTGTTGAAATACGGAGCTATACGACCCCTGGTCTCCTGTATCTATCTATATATAGATGGGCTTCTCCAATCTACCTAGACTCACCTTGAACTAATACACTTGATCCTATCCTCATATCTTCGTCTCATCTCAACAGGGATGGCGGATCTTGATCGCAGTCGGTAGATCTATAAAAGAGTTGCCTTTAGAAATACGGCTCTCATAATAAAGTTTAATCATCGACCGTCAATTTACGTATACAACTACAGAAACAACAAGATGCCGATGTTAATCTTCGCCAACTAAAACATGGGGACGCCGTCAATATACACTTGGTATACTGCTTAAGTACTAGACATGAGTTCGAGTTGGCGTCATATTTTTGCTTTCATCCTGACTATTCTAGCCAGGTCAACAGTCGGCGAGGGAATCAATGGGAAGCGTTCGATGCGTGCACATCATTCTAGGGATGATGACTTCGTAGAAGATGTATAATAACATGGAGTTCAAGTCTTGCCTTGGTGTTTTTGAGGAGGTATAAATAAGGGGGTCTTACTCCGAGTCCAGTAGTTGCTTCTTTTTTTTTTAACCACAAAGCCAGAAGCTTGTATTCAGGCCTCTGTTCATCGATATCTCACTACTATCTTTATCAAAAACATTAACCCTCTCTCCCGCGCGCTTTCTTTTTTTTTTCAGAATGTTCCCGAGGATATCCAAAGTCTCGAGGGAGCGATAGGTCGGTCATATTGTAGGCTGAAGTGGTCTTTTTATCAACTACATACGTACACCAACAGAGAATCTTAATAAGAACGCGACTTTATTATATCTAGCCATGGTCCCATTGTACATACATATTCAAAAGCGACAGCGACAGTTTTCAACATCTCATTATCCCAATTATACTTATTTGGCTTTGCTGAACCCAAACCTGTTACTTCGGTCTAAGCGCGTACAGAATACATTGCGTGTGAGCAAGCTTCCGTATAAGGTTTCTTGTTCGTGCGGAGGAGAGTGAGGGTATCATTGGTTGGACTAACCTCCAGCCAGCCAGCCAGCCAGCCAGCCAGCCAGGTCCCCCTTGCGCGGCCCTTTCATGCCAAGTCCGTCCCACTCACACCTAGAAGGACGAATCACCCGCCTTCCCGAACCCCGAGCGAACAAAAGAAAAGCATTTTATCCAAATTAAAAGCCTCAGCCATCAGCAATCAGCAGTTGGCTGAATCACGGTGGGACTGGATCGGATCCGGTCCCGCTTGTTCGCCAAATACGGGCTTGTGGTCTAGTGGTATGATTCTTCCTTAGCATGAATGAAGCAAAATGCATCATCGTGATCTGGAAGAGGTCCGGGGTTCAATTCCCCGCGAGTCCAGTTATCTTCATTTTTTCCATTTTTCTTTTTGGTTTCGGGGCTGATGGCATCGAAAGCTGTCATCGCAGACTACATTTACATATAATTGAGGCTGGACTGCACACGCATATCGCAATTGCCCAAAATTTTTATTTCGGTATATATATTGCTGATAATCAATTAGTGC